TGAACTTTATCAAATACCGCGCGTGACTATTCAGGTCTATATAATATATAGAAAGTAAGCCTGAATCCAAGCTGTTTTGATGAGTACAATATTAGTGTTCAATGCTGCGGTATGTATAATCCGCAGCAAAAACCGAAGAAATAGAAAGTCGACTGAGAGAGTCGAACCTTTGGTCGATTGAGTCGGCGGAAAAAGGAACATGAATTTATGTGGTCAACTGCGACGGACATGATGCGACACGGAGCTACGCAAAAATGAATACTAAATAAATAGCTTGATTGTTGACACCCGAACACCAAATCCCTCCGTCCTGGGAAAAGAAGACGGGCCACTTGCAGATCATAAACCCTGTCGCACAATCTCTCTCTACTCTGTCTTATTCGTCAAGAGCAACCAAACATGGGCAGTGTTCGCTATATGTTACCACCTTCAGAACCGAAATTGAGAGTCATGGAAGCTCTGGATCAAGAATATCAAGACTTGTGCAATCGGGAGAATCACATTGTGTCGCTTTTGGAACGTTGCACCAAGGAAGAAATGGTACTTCAAACTGCATTGATAATGGCCGAGAAAAAATCTGATGTATCCCAACCTCCAAGTAGGCAAAATCAGGAAAGGGAGGCACTGAAACGGTTGGAAGAAGCGCTGATGGGCGAGAGTAGCGGCGATGATGATTCTTCTCCCCCTTAAATGTTGTTGCTCACTAGCCATGTGCACGCACGTTGCAGTATCGCTGAAGTTGAAGCCAAATGGTCGATCTGAGATACGTTGAAGCCAAACGCTGAAGTGGTCGATCTGAGCCACAGATAACAAATTTCTCAACGGTGACTGTTCTGTGTAGAAATTGGTTTGCTTACGAAACAATCGAGAAATTGATGACAGATTTGATCACTCTTTGGTGAAGCGACAAATAAAGTTTATAAATATGGAAAGAGAGTAGCAGTGTCATAGCTGTCTTAGAACACGATCTCGATAACGGAATGGGGAAAGGTGAGCAGCGTTTCGTCCATTTATTTCGCCTCTTGTTTTCACATTTTAAAGCTATTGCAGTATAATATACAGAGGATTTCCACGCCATTGCAGCTTCTATCACTATTCAGGCGTTACGCGACATGATGACACGAAGCTCCAATAGTGCTACTTGATTTTGTAACGGCGCCTGACACCTGCACATGGTGGGGGGAGACAGGGTTTTGCTCGTTGCGTTTGGAACTGGTTGGAGAGGTGACGACTAGTGGGTCGCAATGAATGAAGCTACTGAGGAAAAGACAACTCTTTCCATTCCAAGTCTTCCTTCTCTACAGAAATGACACCAGTTTCATCGTCAATAAAACGCCAAACATCAAGAGGCAGCGAGCAAAAGGTAAATCTTCCGGTCCTTTTTGAAAGATCCAATTCGCCAGACTCAAGTTTGGCTTGTAAGTGGGCTTCAAGTGGTTGCGATATGTTGGTGATGTTCATCCCCCACCTTATGTGAACAATGTGGGCTTCAGTTGTTGGTATTTAAGAACCCATTCATGAAGAAACGAGGATTTGACAAAGAACGAAGGCACGCTTACCATCAGGATATCGTTGCATCAGATCTACTGCCTTGTGCACCTTCATTCTCCCAGCCTCACCCCAAAAAGCAATATCTTCCCCATTGCTGACATCAACCACTTATAGTATAGCACAATTCAAATATGACGCATTTCATGAGATGACCAAACATGCCTTTCTGAATCCCATACTGACGACTTACCATCGGGAAGGTAGTCGGGGTCCTTAATATCAAACTCTATTTCCAGACTTGGATACTCGTTCATGAAGAGCTTCCAAATGATGGCTTAGCACATTTCATAAGCTGAACAAACATAACGTTCTGAATCTTACAGTATAACACACAGCCGAAGGGCCGACTCACCTTTACTCAAAACGTGCTGCAAAGTCTCCTGTCGCTTCTTTTCTAGCGTCTTCACGATACCGTTGGCAACCAGATCCAGATGAATTTTCTTTTTCTTGGGTATATCGGCTAGTCTTTTACTTGCTGTTTTGTAGCCTCCATTCCATCTGCGCGACCGGACTCGGTTGTCTGGAACTGATAGTCCATCGCCTGGTGATATCACAAGGAAGAAAATCAACGAAACTGAAACCAGTGTCTTTCCTTGCATTTCGATTTTGAGAAGCAAAACTGTCCGATAGGCTTCTTGTGCTGTAACGTACCGGTACAAGTGTACCATGTATGTCAAGCTGGAAGACGCCAATTTATTATTCTCTATTGCTCCGTTTACTTTTTCTGTCAAATGACGGACGTATCAAGCGAATGAATGAATCAATCAACCGTACATGTTTCATCATATCATTGGCCTTCGTCGAAAACAATGCAGCCACCATTAAATTCCTGCCTAGTTCATGTAATCGCCGAGGCCCTAAAGGAAACCGCAAACTCGTTCAAGGCATGACAGGAAAGCCATCTCCTGGATCCACAATCGGCATTTGTTTTAACAACATCGAGTACGAGAGCCCCTCTTATCTGCAAAGTTCAAAGTGGCCCGTCGTAACGTGACCGACTGGACTGCCGAGTCCCGAGCAGAAGTGAATGAGCAATTGAATGTTGGGCGCGGGACAACCGGTTGGGCGCGAGCCGACCAACGGGCGTCGCCAATTCCCACACATCAGATCCATCACCCATCGTCTACTCGTCAGTTGTTGCTTCAGCCTCCCAATAGATACACACCCCTATTAGCTATATCAATCACCGTCTACATCACCATATCCAGCTACATTGACGCATTAGTGCTCAAGAATTTGTACAAGTATGACCAGAACGATAGCACGTTAAGCCGTCTTCTTTTTTCAGGGCAGCTTTCTTGCTCATTACCGTACCTGGTACTTTGTGGGTGTGCACTTGAAAACTGAGACCTCCGGATACCATGACACACCTTCTTGCCCATTCAGAGAGACCTAAGTTGGAACCCAACAAGATCTGCAGCCAGCCGTGCCAGATTCAAAACAAGAATGGAGAGCTTAACGTGATAACATTGAGCTCCTGACTCTCATAGTAGAGAGAGCGTACTAGTGCATTGATGTAGCTACTGTTGAACATGGTAGACGGTGATTGATATTGCTATTGGGGTGTATTTACGGGGGTCTGAAGCAGCTGCGAGTACATGATAGATGATTGATCTTGGGCTTGAGATTGGCGACAACCGTTGGCCTTCGATCGCTCTAATATATCTGCTCGGGACTCGGCAGTCCAGTCAGTCACATTACGTCCCCTGTTCTTCCATTTAGGCGACTCTATTGTAACATCTTGGTCTTTTTCAACTCCCTCTTCTTGATGAATGGCTGCTGGCACCGAACAAGGTAGCCAAAGAAAAATTGCCATCTAACCTTCAATTGCAAATCAGGCTGCAGGATTCTCTCTGACGTCCAAGTTTCTGGTCGGTGGCTTCAAGTTTCTGACAGTTGCGTCCAGGTCCAAAGTTTCACTAGGTGCTTCTCGGTACAACGGTCAGGTGCTGAGGATCAGTCCGCATCTTAGTCGTTGTACACACGTATTTCGGGGAGTAAGGGGGTTGCTATATCTGGTCCTTCGTCTTGGGAGTTGGGTTTTTATTCAATGTTGTAGAGTATGCTGCGACATACTATACTTTGTTGTTGACTACGCTTTTGTTGGGTCAACAAGCACAGCATGCTGCGACATACTGTACTGTTTGGGTCTTTCTTGTTGGCTACTCCTGTTGGCTACTTTTGTTGGCTACTCTTTTGGCTACCCTTTTGTCAACTTTTATCATATGCTGCGACATACCATATTTGTTGTTGGCTACTCTTTTGGGTCAACTTGTATCGTGCGGTGTGCTGCGACCTACTGCACTATGCTTTTTGGGTCCTGTTTTGGGTCGTGTAATACTGGTTGTGTTGTGTTTGTGTGTCCGTGTTTTTTTGTTTTTTTTTCGGGGCGATACAATATATTTTTTGGTTCATTGTGTAGTTTTCGCGCGTGTTTTATGGGTTTCATTGTATAGTTTTTGCGCGTGTTATATGGGTTTCGTTGTATAGTTTTTGCGCATGTTTTATGGGTCTCTTCCTTTTTTTTCCTTTTTTTTCTTTCTTCTCATTTGTGGTGGGCTCATCTCTTGATTGATCTGCGTTATCTTTTCTTCGGTGTAATGTTGGTGGTGGTGGTGGGCGCGCTGTGTTGGTGTTTTCTGATGATGATGACTCTCTGTCCTGTCTCTTTCTTGTTGTTGTTGAATAGTACTTTGGGTGACGCTGCTTGATCTCTTCTGATGTGTTGCACTGGAAGCATTTTGGGTCGCTCCATGGTGAGTTCAAATTCCTGGTTGAAGAGGCTTGAAGTTACTGTTTTTCGATGAAAATCTGGCGCCATCTTTGCCTTCAACATGAATGGTAATCCAAAGAGTGTGTCGATGGGTAGTTGCTCCGTCAATCCAATCATCAACGTGTGATTTTCTCCATCCTCGTTGGCAAAAGGGATGTAGTATTCAATGATTGCCTCGATGTTGACGCTGTCTTTGATTCCTCCAATCTTGATGGGGTCGTAGTGAATCTTTGGAAAGTCGTACACCTGTTTGACCAATTGGGGGTATTGTTTTGCGATGATGAGGTGGTATGCTTTTTCTCCTATGTTGCAGCATCCTCCTGTGTCGTATATTCCTTTCAAGTTGGCTGTGTTTCTGAGGTTGAGACCGATTGGGAAGTGCATCACTGCTAGGACTTCGTTCACTGAGAAGTCCAATTTTTGTGCTTGTTCCATTGTTGCAAAGCTTCCGACCGTCATGAAATTGAGTGGGGGATCCGTTCTCATTTGCTTCCTCTTTTGTCCGCTGTTTTTGCCCATGTGCTTGGTGACTGTTTTGGCCAAGTTTACTAACAGTGTTCTTCGTTCATCTTCCTGCGTTTCTGGATGCTCAATCTTTTGAATTGTTTCATAAACTATTTGATTCATATAACCACTGTCCTTGTAACTTGATATCTCGCTTTTGTGTCGTCTCTGCTATCTCTTTAGTCTGTAGTCCTCTAGGCTTTTTTCAAACTGGCTGATAACTCCCGGATCTCCTTTGTGGGGGCATTCTCGGAATGCGTGGCCTATCTTTTGGTATCCCCAACAATGGATCGAGGATGTTTTGTCGCTTTCTTCTTCGATGTTGAATGCTTCTTCGGCGGCACTCATGCATGCTAGCATTGTTAGGGCAGCTTTTGGGCAGTATAATTTGCTGTCGGATGTCAGGACCAACAATTGTCTTCCTTGTCCGTCGGTGACTCTAACGTTTTGCTCTGGTGCTGGAGGGGTTGTCAGTGCGGTGTGTACGGTTCCAGCAGTCTCAATCCTTGGAGTTTGGAAGGAGCAGTTGTCTTGGAATCCTTGGAATCCTTGTTGGTGGAATCCCGCAAAAGCTCTTCCTCCTGGTCTTGTTGGTGCAGATGGTCCTGGAACGTAGCTTCTGTTTGGTCTGACTAGTCCCGTGCTGTTTGCAATTCCCACAATTTGCGTGATGCGCTTCTCCTCCTTCTCTGCTTGTTCACGCAAGCGGTGCATTTGAGACAGGTTGCTGGGGTAGTCCATGGGTAGTGGTCCTGCTGCTCCCGTCTCTAGGTGTTCAGCCACAACGTCCTTGATTTCTTGTGTGAAGGCTTGGAATGCTACGCCTGCCAAGTCCGATAGGTTGGTTGGTGGGGGATTCTTGTGGTTGAACCTGTTTAGAATTGTGGCGATTCTGCCAAATAACGTAGCCACGCTGTCGCACATCATCGTGCCTCCTTTGTATTGGATCATATTGAGTTTTGCCAGTTGTTGGTTTGGCGTCTCCATTCCTTGTTGTAGTCCGACGTAGGTGGCCATGAGTGCTTGTTTGAGCGCTTGGAATTGGGTCTTGGCAATCTGTTGCTTGGACCACTTTTCGTAGGCTTCGTTGTCAGGTTCTCCGTCTCTGGTTGCGGCTCTCATCGAGAACTCTTTTCCCAATGCTACCATTGCTGCGATAATTTCCTTGTCATGTGCTTGGTCTGTTACCATTTGGCAAGTGATGGATACATCCATCTGGTTCTGGACTCTTGGCACTGGAACGTATACAGCTCTATTGGAAGACGGTGGGAACTTTGCTGGGTCAATTCCAATGTCAGTTCGTAGGGAGCAAAGCCATGGGACCAATCTGAGCTTGATTCGGAAGCATGTAGCGGCGGCTCTAAATGGGGCTGGAAGTCCTGGTCCCGGTCCTGTAGCGATCGGTTGTCCCATGTCTTGTGAACTCGTACACGCCGCTGGTCACGTCGAACAATTCGCTGGTGGCAGCGTTGACGCGCGAGCGAACATCTGGGCATACTGATGTGTAGCGCTTCATCAAGAAACCCAACTTGTGTTCCATTGTTGTCTTTGTCTGCTTGATGGAGTTCACAGACTGTTGGAGGATCGCTTGCTTGATTTCTGGAGACTCTGTGGTTGGAGCTATGACGGCAGTATCGATGGTCGTGTACTGATTGTAGGTGATGGTCTCGTCCACGTGGCTTCCATTGACCCAATACAATTTCTTGTTGATACGATTGCTTATTTTCTTGTTTTTTTTCATATTTGTGATGCGACACAGCAGTCATCGCGGCGAATGCTGCATTCTCCATATTGACAGGAACTGCTGACATCATAGCAAACGCGTTGGGCTGGAAATGATCAGGGTTGAACTGTCCACCCCATGTGTTGGCTGTTCGTGTGAATAAACTTGGTGGCTCTGACTGCAAATCGAATGCGTTGGGGCTTCGAATCTCAGGCTGGCTTCCACTTAACGTGATAACGTTGAGCTCCTGACTCTCATAGTAGAGAGAGCGTACTAGTGCATTGATGTAGCTACTGTTGGACATGGTAGACGGTGATTGATATTGCTATTGGGGTGTATTTACGGGGGTCTGAAGCAGCTGTGAGTAGATGATAGATGATTGATCTTGGGCTTGAGATTGGCGACGACCGTTGGCCTTCGATCTCTGCTTGGGACTTGGCAGTCCAGTCAGTCACGTTACGAGAGTCGGCCTATCAGAGTCCAGCTCCTGTTGTTTACTCTTGGTTTCCTCTTCAAAAAATTGCAACTGCGCAAAAAATATCAGTCCGAAAACAGAGGTAAGATGCTGCAGCTAAACTACTGATGAGCAAAGTGCATGAAAGTATTATCAGATGCTACGGCTGCAGTAGCTCAAGAAGACTACAAGAAGGCAGATGATACATAATGTTAAATGGTGTAGACTAGAGATCACCCGAATTAGACCAAGGATAATAAGACCAATTTTCTCCCGCTTGCCATATTTTGTTTTATTTTTCGTGCAACAAGTGGATTGATGCAATACAGCACCCCAAGCACCTCCAACACCTCAGGAGGACCCTAAGCAACTATCATTTTGCAAATTTTCCAAAAATTTGCCCTCAATCATGTCACAATCAACCTGCTTCGTTGATACATTTTCTGTTGAGTCGCTCTTTGCAGCCCACAGAGGAGGGCCCCATAGCTTCATTGCGATGATGTCAAGAATCTGGGGCGGTACGCCCGGATCAGGGCGATATGCCCAGATTTTGATGTGTCAAAATCCGGGGCAGGACGCCCCGGCGCGCGGTCAAAAACAGCCACTTCTGTGATGTAGCGCGTGACACAATTAGACCAACCACGAATGAATGAATCAATGAATCAATCAATCATCATCTCTCTGCATGAACGATCGGATGAGTCCTATAATCGAATCCGTCATAAAAAATAAACTACAACAGGTTGCGTGGTGGAAACAAACAGCTTTGTAGAAGTGTCAATATTTATCCTTGCTGCTGCTCAGTGCAAAAAGAGGCATAAGAAGAAAGAAAATAATTGGATGAGGATAAATAGTCGCAGATGAGAGTTCGTCCTCATCATTTGCAATGTTTCCTTTTCGGCCTCTTGGCACTCATTGGTCTCCAAATCGCATTGTTTGATAAAATCTTCGAATGTGCAGGAGACGTAGACGAGGGCGTCCCTCTTCGATTCCGCAATCTGCGTCATGGTGATACAGTGGATCTAATACACGGACAAGCTGACGAAAACAGCGTGGATGAAGATTTTGAAGCAGCTAGTGGATGCATCTTAGTTTGCGACGACAACCATTTCTTGATTGGTAAGTTGAGCACCACCCACATTTCTTGTGGTTGGAATCAACCAAATTCCGTCCATCTCATCATAATTTCCTTTTACCTACCTCGATATTTCACCTAAACAAAATATCAGAATGGATCGCATATCATTACCATGTACTCAATTTACGAACTTTGATTGTTACATCTGATCCCAACAGCCGCACGTCACCTCAGCCAGTACTAGATAGATGGAAAGGTCTCATCGATATTCAATATTGGGATGAGTCTAGATTTCTGGACCCAGATGATATCACTTGGTTGGAAAGATCAAAGAAACTGCAAATGCACAGACTGCGGCAACGATCATTCAACAAGGAGTGCCTCCGTGAATTGAAACGACGCGACAAAGGTTGGACTATTTTGACCGACACGGATGAGTTTGTGACCCTGAATCCCAAATTGAACGACACAAGGTACGAGAGTCTCTATACGTCGAACCTTACATCCATACGTGAACCAGGATCTGTCATGGATTATTTGAAAGATATTGCAATTCCAAACGAGAACATTTCTGCATTTACTCCCTGTATCCCAATCCATCGATGGCAATTTTCCTCTCGTGAGAGTACTCCGGAAGAAGTAGAGAAAGACGTCCCAGCCGAATTCCAAGGGTCCGATTTTTTGACCCTTCGTTGGAGGCGATTTGGGGCTGAAATGAAATACTTTCAAACGATGCGAGGGGACACATGCGGCATTCAACGTAGGGCTGGACCTGTTAAGACGATCATCGACTTGTCTCGATTAAGACTGGTTGATTTATTTCACGAAGATGTCGAAGGTGGTCCTCACAGGCCATTGGAATCAATTTGTGGTCTATATGATGCTTTTGTCACACCAGGATATGTTGCACTCGTGATACACCACTTTTTAGGTAGGTTGGACCAATGGACATATCGAGTGACGGACAATCGGGGAGCTGGTTATCGACTTGCCCGATTCAAGGATATGAACGATTACATCGGATTGTGGAAGAGCGACCACTTACGCCTGTGGCTTCAAGGGTTTGTTGAATCGGTTGGAGAAAACGAGGCATCGCGCCTCCTCGCCGACGTTGGGAAACTTCAGCCGTTGCCAGGTCAATTGGCATCACCTTCTTTCAACAAAACACTAGAAGAAGATGATACCAAGACGCCAAAGTACGAAGTCGGAGACATCGTACTCGCTGATTGGCGCAACTATGGACAATGGGACTGGGCTCACATCACAGCGGTATTTGACGGTGGATTCTACAACGTCATGTTTATCCATGATTGTAGTGAAGACTTGGGATTAGGAACAGAGAGATTGAAGAAATCCGGTAGGGCATACAGGACTAATTTGACTTATGAAGAGCTTATGGCAAAAGGCAACCCCGCAGCAATTGTTGGTTATACCGACAATGTACCAGCTTGGGTCAGAACTCAACAAGTTTCAGTCGAAGCAAGAGCAGACGAAGATGACGACGCATCAGAAGAGGACGAGGCGGAAGTGGATGAGGCAAATGAAAAAGAGGGCGGAGAAGAAAGCTCTGATTCCAAAGAGAGCAATGACGAGTAAACGATTGTAAGGACAAAACTGTGCGTATCTCGAGCGAGCTGCTGCAGTCGCAAGCAGCTCTGTAGGAGATGGTCCTTTCTAGACATCTTGATGCAACCAGGGAAACTGACCCTACATGTTGATCTTTGGGGCGACAATGCGGCATCGGAACGTCGAACTAGTGCATTGAGATTATTCATTCGTGTAGGTAGGTTGAATAATTTCACAATGGTCCAAGTACTAGTCTAACGCCAAGCGTTAACATTGACCAATGAATTGAAAACAATGTCGTTGCATCAGATTGTGTATTTGTACCAGACTCTCCTGCCTTTAGTGTTGGGGAATCTGACGACTGGATTGTTGGCCTTGGTGTTGGTAGGGTCGTCATAGCGGCCCCTTCCACAGCGTTCAGTAAGAAAGAGCTGAAATACCACTCTGAGAAATTCTGTTCAACGCTAGTTTCGGCGACGACACTGACGTCGAGAATCAAGTTCGATGTGACACTGTCCATTTTAAGATTCAAGTCAACCATGGACTTCTTCTCTGGCGAATTGTGGGATACTCCAGCAACAAAGTAGGCTTGCTTACAGATAAAGACCTCCTTGGCACCACCCGAAGATGTCGCGTCTTTAAACGGATCGATAGTTTCAGTTGGTAGAATGGCATCAACAGTAAATGACCCGTCAAGCCTCACCAGAAACTCAGAGAATGGGTCTCCATGTGCAGTTAACGTCAGGTCGTGATCCTTGAGTGCTTCAAAGTCAAAGGGAATGTTTGGATCTAGGACTTGATTACCGATAGATATTGTCACGTTATAGTTCGCAATTGGTCCACCTCCCAGTTGGGTATAGTTACCAATATTGAAGTTTGTCACAACCGCCTCTTTCCCGGCTCCACAACCAACAACACCATAGGGCAAAGCTCCCACCAATGGGACCAACAGGGCTGTGGCCACCAAGAGCTTAAAGATTTTGGGCATGTTTTCAGAAGGGGCGTCGACTGAAGTGAGTTCAATTTTGCGTTTTATGTTTTGCCTTTGGTGACATACCGGGTAAAATGCAGTACCAGTACCGGTATGCTTTTTTATCGTTTGCATTTTCATCGTTCGAGTGGAACGCGACGGACCGGTTGACGTCTGGCATACGTACGCAAAATGAAACTCAGAAACACAAAACTTCAACCTCCCAAAACTTCATCCCAAGAAATACCACGACGTCCTTCACCAATACACCATAAAAATAAACCGCTTTTCCTATAGTCGTCACCTCTATAGTCCTATTGATAACTTCTTATCATGACGAATAGTAAGAGGCAGTATGGAAGCCGCAATCAATCGACAAAGTACAAGAAACAGAAATCTTCACATTGTCAACTGATCTCAGATTGCGATGTCTTTAGAGCGTCCATGGATACAAAACAGTGCTGTAATTGCCACGATCACATCTATTGTTCGTTGGAAACCGATTGTACCACATGTCACAACAATCATTGAAATTATTGTGTCGAATGCTTTCCAGATCTGATATCATCTCCAGAACGACGAATGTTTTTTCAGCTGTCAGTCTGAAGTCAACGGCTATACCGGTACAAACAGTCAATGCCAATTAAAGCATGGTCGAAAGGCATGGCAAGCAAAACAACATGTGACATATTCATACTGTATGACGACTATGATGAAAAGCTCGATCCAATTCGAAGCTTCAACTCCAAGTATGGCGCTGACGAGGAGGAGGATGGTGAAAGAATTAATTTCACTCGCGTTAGTATTTGGTGGTTTCACAGATGATGGCAGGGGACTTGACATTTGAATCCATATACTTCCCGACAAACAGAGAGGAAAACTGAAGCGTCGAACAAGTGAGAGGTCTCGCATACATCTTATCTTGCCTACATTTCATCTTTATTGCAGCATGTAAATGCGACAGTAATGATAAAGAGTTTGATGCAATGAAGCTGCAGTCAATGGTAGATGACGCTTTGGCACAGCTGGCTCTTCATTCGATTCTTCTGCGCTGCCTTGTTGCCTTTACGTTTAAAGCTGAACCCTTGGAAGAGACGCCCATTGGGGATGCTCTTCCTAATCAACTTGGAATCAGCTGCGTTTTTCGTCGCATCAAACAAGAATCTGAGTCAACAACCAGCTATAGAATGAATGAAGCAACTAGATGTTGGAAAGCGGTTTTTTGAACGGCTCTTGTACTTTTGCGATACTAATATATTTGGACCCTTGAGATAGGCGAATTGGAATGCTGCTGTTCATTGAAATCATTGAATCCTGAGGTTTTATTCAATTTGTCCATTCAAGATACACGACCTGAAAACATTTTTGGTGGAAGATGACCCAAAAGCTTGGCAGCGACTCGAAACTGGTCCAAATGGCGTCTCATGGACCAGGTTGGATGGATCTGGAAGCAAATGAAAAAGATGGCTTACCAAAGTTGCATCTCAAATATGCTCGAAGTGTAACCCTTGCTATGAGTATCTCATGAAGAAAGTGTCTACAAGGTCCCAGATCTTGACGCATAACTTGGTTACATGCAAAATTTACTTGGAGACGAAGTATGGAAAAATTGTCGTACAGGAGTACAATTACAATGTGTTAGGGAAGAGGATCTGAAGCGGGTCGGGGTTCAAACACTGTTGAAGACAAGGAAAGAAGCATCTAAGCTGGATCCGGAACAGGTGGAGAATCGAGAAAACGACTTTAAGACACAGTATACTGTATCAATGATTGGTAAATTGGATAATTTGGAGAAAGAACTACATGATGAGGTCCAAGCTCATTTTGTGTGAGAACAATCGGTGCAAGATGACATTTGAAATCATGGTGGAGCAAGAAATACTCCTGATTCAAGCAGCGAGTGCTACTAATGTCAGCAACTTTAGTGCCACAAGCATTGATTTTGCCCCGCCAGATCTGACATATCTATCATAATCTAATTAACAGCATTGGTATCTCTACTAGTACCATCGAGACTGATGGTTTCATTGATTGTTCGTTGTTACATACTTGGGCTTTTTGAGACTGGATTTGTTTCTTGGCTGCGGAAAGAAAAAATCCTTGTGGTCTGTGGTCTACAAGTGGACTGAAAATGTACCTCTAGATTAACCCGGGGATCTGGTGCGTTGAGACATGCTTTGCATAGGCTGTGTCATGATTCGTTTCAATTTTTTTGACTTGTGAGTAATTACAATAAATACCAGTTTCTCTACCTTGAGATCACTGCTACAGACATTGCCTTTACTTGCCCGTGCGGGAGAAAGCTCATTCAAAGCAAGCAATGCAATAAACAGTTTTGGTATAGTGAGGTTTGAGGTTGCCACAGTCACAAAATACAGTATCGATTGTAGTAGCTAGCTTAGTGAACATGAGGTTGATTGCTTCCCTGCTTCTTGTCATATTGTTGCTGGATTATTGTTGAATGTTCCCCCATCTTGTGAGCCTTTTCCGAATGGTAGGTCTGCTGACACTGTTGATTGTTTTCATTATTTATTGCTTGGAGTTATTGCTTGGAGTTTCTGTGGGGACGAGAATATCCCTGCCAAAGGCCCAAGGATTCTGTGTATTCTTGTATCATCTGATATTTCATCCGCGTTGGGATCAATATATTGTTGAATGGGAGATTGTCGTGTCAAGAGTTATGGGAGGACTGGTGACTGCCGGATTCTCCATTGGTATTGGTGAAATGTTTCTCGCAGTTGGTTGATCGGACATTTTCCGGGGATTGAGCTTCCGCTTGAGCTCTTCGATTCAAGAAATGAAGGTATCCTTCTCCCAATCTGGCATCTCATTCTATTGCTGGCCTTCAGCAGCTTGTTGGTCATTTGAAAGCTTCCGATATTGTTATATTTTCTTGTCCAGTAGTTCAAGGTCAGTATCAAATCCAAGGAAGTGTTTTGGAACGCCCTTGTCATCACCTCCCGTCCGCAATACCTTGTAATGCATTGCCAAGGACTCGGGGCTGTCGAAATCTAGGCCCGTGAGTTTTGCAAGCGTCGTAGCTACCAGACCACTGGATTTGCGTGTCATGACTTCAGCGTTCTGTTGCTATCCAAAACCAGCTGGAACGAAGTCGAGACCCTTAGATAAAGTGTTCTATGGGTTGTGTGGAAGAGATCTATCGCAAAAACGGAGGGAATAAACTGTTGTGAGGGTGGACACGGTGGATACAAGTAATGCTATAGGTGTTTTGTATTTTTTCTTTCGGTATTTTGGATTCATTTTGCGTACGTATGCCAGACGTCAACCGGTCCGCAACGTTCCCCTCAACCGATGAATTTTGTTTCAAGTTTTGCGTTGTTGTGATCTGGTCCCCTTAATATTGGGGTATTAAACTTCGCCTCCCCTCCCAAAGCAATCCAAGAATCAAAACGTGGCATGGAAAGCAGGGAAGGTGTAGCACAAAGGACTAAGACAATGCATTAGAAAACATATGATGAGAAACAGCACTGATTTGATGAGAGTCCTTTTTTTGGCAGCATTGTTTCCATTTTCATCGATGGGATTCATCAATCCATTGGGTGCGTGCCGACCTCATTCTCGATCATCAACAAGAACAGCCAGATCCCCAATATGCTTGCTAGTGAACATCAATTCAGACGACCCATTTGAGATCTTGGGTCTAAACGAAGCGACGACCGATAAAAAGGTCATAAAAAGGGCATACAAGCGAATGGCACTGAAGTATCACCCCGATGTCCTTTCGACGCCTCAGAGTTCACAAGAAGAGAAGAAGGCAGCGAGTGATCGATTCGCCAAGATCAATTGGGCATATTCCCAGCTCAGCGGTAAAGGCGAGGATAATAGCACTTACAAGTCGAAGTCCAATACACAAAATCCTTCTTCCACTGGCGGCTGGACGCCTCCCCATAGACGAGCTGGTGGTAGCCAGGGAAGCAACCGTGGTTATGCGTCTTCTGGATCCGATTCCGTCGATTGGTCTGACTTCATACCTAAGTCTGATGACAGCTACGACACTGACGGCGATTCTTTTGGAAAAATCTTTTCCGATATCTTTGCTGGGGCCGCTACAAGTGCGGTGTCAGGTGGTGCTGCTGGATCGACTTTATTCAAGGACTTTATTGAGTTTCTGGAAGGCAATGTGGACGGCTTTGGCGGCACAACTGGGAGCGACGACTCTGAGCTGCAGTATCTACTCGGGAGAGGGACGAGAGAAGAGATCCGAAACGAACTTGACGATACCAAATTGGTTGTTGATCAACTAACAAGAAAACTGCGTGGTATTGAAAACGAAATTTTCAGTGCCACTGCCGAGCTCGGCGAAACAGAAAAGTATCTAGAAAAAATCAGACTGGAAGAGATCATTGCAGAAATGAATGCTCGGAAAAAAGTCGTGAAGGGATACCTCCAAAAAGCCGAGCAGAGACTGCTTAAACTTCAAATACGTTACAAGGAAACGAAGAGAAGCAACCCGCAATGGGACGATACTGAGCAAGAATCGGCATCATCAAGTTACTCTTCTACAAAGTACCCTTCATCGGCACCGAAATACCCGTCTTCAAAGGAGCACAATCCTGACCTGTCTTGGAATAGCGAAGGATTTGGCTCCTCAAGCCGAACGGCTCGCCGATCTGTCACTTCAAACGATGGCGGCAAGCAACAATCTTGGAAAAAGGAAGGGTTCGGATCATCAGCACGGCGAGGTAGTCGCCGTCGTCCCGAAACAGCGACTGAAAGTTACAAGAAGCACGAGGCAGAACCTGCATACTCTAGCACCTCTGAAAGCACCTCTGAGAGCAGGTGGTCGACTGATGGAGGCGAGAAGTCATGGAGAACTGAAGGATTTGGGTCCAGACGTCGCACAAGGCGTCAGGACAGGGATACCCAAAATCAACGCCCTGCAGGGACAACTTCTGGTCGAAGCGATCAAGATAGGTTCGGAACCAGCAGATCGTCTGGAATTTCTTCCTTCGGTTCTTCTGATGGTTGGACGGAATCAGTTCCCCCGCATCGCAGAGCAACTTCCTCCTCAAATGCGCAAGATGACTCGAAAAGGCGACTTCGAGAGATCGTTGTTGATGAAGAATTTGAAAAGCTGAAACGGGAACTTGGGTTGTAGAGATTTAGAAGTAAAGATTCAAACGTTACTCCCTTTTTTAAAAATTAAATTCACTGAGCGCTTCTCCAGTATCGATCCCCTTGTGGCCCGAGTACCGCAAATGCTTCAGCAAGGAGTTGCCTCATCTCAGACGCAGAGATATCCGGACTGTGTTTACTTTGTCTTCAGCGACCAATAGCACTAGTAAAGAACGAATTGTTGCAAGTAAAGAAGTCTTATTTTACATCAGCGACATTTATAGACCAACGCTTTAAGCGGAAATCTTGGCGTCAGTTGTGGCAACGTGCTTCATCAAGTCAACAACACGGCCAGAGTATCCGTACTCGTTATCGTACCAGGCGACAAGCTTGACGAATTTTTCGTTGAGCATGATGCCGGCATCGGCATCAAAGATGGAAGAGCGGAGGTCACCCTCGAAGTCAGTGGAGACAAGAGGTTCGTCGGAGTATCCAAGGAAACCCTTCATTTCACCCTCGCTCATCTTCTTGATGTGGGCGCAGATCTCTTCGTAGGTAGTGGCCTTGGTCAATCTTGCGGTCAAGTCGACAACGGAGACATCGATGGTAGGGACACGGAAGGCCATACCGGTGAGCTTTCCAACAAGTGATGGGATCACCTTGGTGACGGCCTTGGCGGCACCTGTGGAAGAGGGGATGATGTTACCGGATGCGGCACGTCCCCCGCGCCAGTCCTTGCGGGAGGAAGAGTCAACAACGGCTTGGGTTGCGGTCATGGCGTGGACGGTGGTCATGAGGGCCATTTCGATTTCGAACTCGTCGTGGACGGCCTTTACCATGGGGGCAAGTCCGTTGGTGGTACAGGACGCACAGGAGATGAAGTCTTCAGATCCATCGTATTCGCCTTGGTTGACACCCATGACAATCGTTTGGGAGTCGTCCTTGGCGGGGGCAGAGTAGATGACCTTCTTGGCTCCTCCATCGATGATAGATTGTGCCGTCTCCTTGGTGAGGAAAACACCTGTGGACTCGCAGACGTAGTCGGCACCGAGAGCTCCCCAGCCGACTTCCTTAGGGTCGCGGCATCTGGAGGTCTGAACCTTCTTTCCATCAAGAACAAGGAAGTCTCCGTCGATTTCAACGGTTTGCTTGGCCTTTCCGTGGATGGTGTCGTACTTGTATTGGTAGGCCATGTAGTCGGGGGTTGCCGAACCGGCGTTGATGGCCTTCAAGTCGCAAGACTCGTCTTCCATCATGATACGGGTAACAAGACGTCCGATACGTCCGAATCCGTTAACTCCCATACCAGTGCTCATGGTCATAGAAGCATCGTTGGAGGCAGCGTTAAGGGCGGTTCCAGAGAAGCTGTGGATGGACAATCAGTTAGCAAACGTCCGAACTTTCGTGTATTCGTGTGCAGGCATTCACTTACGCAGAGCCGGAGAAGGCGGCAGCGGATCCAAAGGAGGCAAGAATGGCAACGGCGGAGAACTTCATTGTTATTGATTCAGGGCTTGCAGACAAGATATGAGAAAGATGCATATCTGTCAAACGTTTCCCCTCCGTCAGACCAAAGACTACCGTGGTGGCGTACGTCAGTGATAACTAGGGATTCAACCACAACCAAGACACAAAAGTACTACATACCCGTGAAATATACACAATTTTGTAGAAATTCAACGCAAAACACTACTTCGAGAAAATGTTTGTCACACAAAAATGTGTTGAAGTACGTACGAGTACGTACGAACGCGGTTCATGTGGATGAGGAGCAGCAGGCAGAAGAAGAGCGTCCATCGTCCTGCTGTACAGTGCGCCCGTACAGCATCCGAATGATGGTCGAAGAAGTCGCTCTTTGAAGTGTTCGCGTGTGAAAAAGTAGAAAATCTGCATCCAAAAACTTAGTCTGAGGACGATGGATGATGATCTTGAAGGCGACGAGATCGGAACTATTGAAGGCTTGCTCGAGGGCGACGGCTTCATCAATGAAGAGATCAAGGAGGAAGAGACTGCAAGAAAGAGGAGATTCAAGCGGAAGAGGCGGCTTGAATCGATGCAGAAGAATCAAATGAACGAACCATTGATGTCATCTATCGTCGCGAAGAAACTACGATTGGAGAAATCGTCGCCGGCCGGATCCATTCAATTGCAACAAACGGGTACAAAATATTCTTTGAAAGAAGAGTCAAACGCTTTTTGCAGTACCATATCGACTCCGCCACGAGTCTCTGAAGTATTGGAAAATCATGATTGTGACAAGAGATATACTGGTACTGGTGAATTTGACATGTTCTCCGGCTCCGTCTCGCCTCCGTCAAGAGTCCCAAACGCATCGAAAAATCACGATTATGATGAACGAAATCGAATTTTGGACCAGCAGCAGGATTGGGACGATGTTGAGGGTTACTACAAAGCAGCAATAGGTGAGTTATTCTCACTGTGATATTTCAACAAAAAACATGCGTCTGCTCATTTCTTAAAAAGGGGAAAAAATATCTGTTAATTTGACGAAGAATTGTGCAGTCAGATTTAGAGTCTCTGGTGTGGTTGGAAAGGGTGTTTTCTCGACGGTTCTGAAGTGTGTGACAGAAAGCAGCAACAGCAGCACTGTGTTGCCGCCTCAAGTCGCACTGAAATTCATCAGACACAACGACACAATGGCGAACGCTGCAGTTAAGGAGGTCAAAATTTTACAGCGGTTGAGAAATAGTCTTGGAGTGATTTCCCTTCTTTTGCCATCAGATAGTGCGCCCTTGGAATATCGTGGTACGCTTGGTGTTCGTTTTTTTTCAAATTCATTGTCCAATGTAACTCATCAGGGTACCTTCATGAACGCGCAGGTCACACGATCTTGGCATTTCCTCACATGGAGTACAACCTTCGCGATCTATTGAAGAAGTAAGTGAAGCGTGTCCCTAGTCAAATTCTGAAACAAAGACTTCTTATACGTGCTTTTATAGATATGGTCAAGGATTGGGACTATCACTCACTGCTGTTACATCATACTTTCGTCAGCTCCTAGCCGCATTGACTCAACTTCAAAAGCATAACGTCATTCACTCGGATTTGAAACCAGACAACATTCTTGTGAGCGCCGACTTTTCTTCCGTTTCAATATGTGACTTCGGTAGTGCGATTGATAGTCAGGAGAGCGGTGAGATGGTTACTCCGTACTTGGTGTCAAGGTTTTACCGCGCGCCTGAAATCATATTGGGGCTAATTCCAACATATGCGATTGATCTATGGGGTATTGCGGTCACTGTTGCAGAGCTTTTCCTTGGAAAGGTTGTGTTCAACGGATCTGACAACAACGATATGTTGAAAATGATGATGGAGGTTTTGGGGCCATTTAGTAATCGTTTGATTCGTCAACATTTGGTCCAAGCCCAAAAGTTCCCGTTGAAAACGCACTTCAGTCAGGAAGCAACAACGTTTGTCTTTCGACAAGCGACCGTAGACCCTGTCACGGGCCAGGCAGTCCATAAAGATGTCTCTCTTCAGTCTTTCACGCCCTCCCTACAGTCTAGGATTTTGAGAGCCAAATCAGGCCAAGACAGTCGTACGAGCGCATTGCGTTTCGCTGAGATCCTTCAGAAATGTATGACGCTCGATCCAACGAGGCGTATTTCAGTAAAGGATGCCATTCATCATGATGTTTTCAAGACAAAAAAATAGTCAATTGCAGTCGACTCAGTGATATCAGGGAGAAAGATTCTGAATTAGTATTATTCAAATTAACTCCATAGCTTCTGTGGCCTCAAATTACGCTTTGTGCCACTTTTTCGACGCATAACGTAGTCCACAGTATTTGCAACGCTCAACTACTCCGGGACGTTCCAAACTGATATATTCGAGAGGGTGACCAAGGGCACCACCTCCACCGTCACAAATTGCCATTTCTCCCTCTACTTCAATAATTGGGAATTTCTCAACGAGCTCCAGTGCATTCGAACGATGCTTTCCAAGCTTAAATTCCGATTCTTCGTTTGATCTGTAGTGCAGACGCATCTCTTCTTTCGACTTGTCAGCGGTATCCGGTTCAATGTTATAAGGAGACTTTGGTGGAACAGATGGAGGTGGACCAGACGTGGACAAGTGGCGGAGAGCATCCACGTTGGCGATCTTCCATACGCGACGATTGGCGGAGGAAAACACTGCTCTTGATAGCATTGTTTTGGTCTATGATAGTGTTTTAGTTTTTCTTGTTGTTGCTGTTGCGGCTGTTATGATTTTTGCTATATCTACCAGTACCGGGTACAAGGTACCGGTACAGGTACAGCACTATTGTACTCCGTGCGTAGTTTGCTTGCGTTCATTCGCACGGGTCGAAGAATGAACCTGATAAAGATATTATATTTGAATAAGCATCATTTTTTAGCAGAAAGAGTACATGACACATCCCAAGACAAGAATATTACCATTGCAAATTACGGTGCAATCTATATAAATAGTAGGACAGCTAGTTCGACGCATGAGTGCCAAAATACTATGATTCATTCATTATTCCCAGTCATTGACTTCTTTCGCCGAGTGAGAAAGAAGATCTTCCTCATCCATGATCACGGCATCTGGATGAAAAAAAATCTAGTACATGCTCTGGTAACCCGAGTGTGACCCGCCAGATCCCTTTGGCTTCTCTAGTTTTTCCTTGTTTTTGTCCATGTAGTCAAGGCTGTAAAGGAACGAATCATGAAATGATGAGATGAATGAAGCGTAAAACATATTTTTCAATGAAGGATCCAAAGATCAACTTACACTGCCATGTAGCTGGAAATTGTCGCCTGGAAAGCTCTTTGCGCTTTGGAGTAATACTGCACATCAGTCGCAATTAGAGCCCCAACACGGCTATCAAACATTGGTCCAGTCATGTCGGAGCTACTCTTTTTTTCCTCTTTGCTTTCACTTGACTTTTCCTCTTTTTTCCCATCAGTAGTTGAAGACGATGTCAACTTTGTGATAGAACTTGAAACCGATGGTAGATTCAACTTGGAAAGGGATTCAGCTCTGGCATTGGAGTATCCAGATAGTTCATCGATCGCTTTTCCTGCGGCCTCTTGCATATCAGAAAGCTGCTTCAACATTGAGAGTTGCACTGTGACCCCAAAATTGTTACCGTCTTCCATCTTGGGAATGTGCAAATTGAGGAAAACCTCTAGAGCTCGGGCATCTGTGTATGTAATGGGAGGGCAATATGTTAGAATTCTGAAGCAATCTATCTATCGGGGCATACGCAAGTTCAGCGCACCTTGAGACACTGTGGAAATTTCGTCAATTGTCATCGAAACAGCCTTGGAAACAGGCTCGTTTGACCCACTTTCGACGTTCAGCTTCTTGAATTCGGTAGAAGCAGCAGACAAAGTGGGATGCGGGAAGCAAGTTGCAAAAGTCGCTTCCATGTTCTGAAGCTTTGCCATCGCACCATCCAATATTTTGGTTGCTTTATCCTTTGACGATTTGTTGTATTTTTCGAGGAGTGTCATGATGTTTTCTCGTTGTTTTGTGAAATGAAACTGGAGATGATAATGATTCTCCTTCTTCCACTTTCGATTTGGTTCATCGGTCGGTTTCAGACTTGCAATCGAATGAATCGATCCACTCGATCTTTTGACAGTCAGATCAGTCCATCCATCCGATACTGTAGCTTATTGATAAGTTCGATTTGGACGGATGAAGATCCTCCCTCAAAAAGGTGAAGGATACGAAACTGCTGCAGTAGGTTTCATCGTTTGTAGCATGGCCACAAACTTGGGGAGAAAGCTTCTTCTTCTGCCCAAATTGGGCCATATTCACCCCTCAGGTAGAAAGGCAGCAGGCAATGGTGCGATACGAAGAGTGTATAGCACAGAAAAGACAGATGGAAGGCATGAACCTTTCGAAATTATAGTCGCGGCAATGCTTGCAGGTTCCATGGCAGCGGCATACATCATCAATGAGCATCATCAACCAAGAGCGTCTAAAGATTCGCTGAATCTAAATTACCTCGTTTCGACTCGAACCGCAAAGGCGGAGCCTCGGAGACGGAAGGGTGCTAGAAATGTCATGCTTCACAGGAAGAGATCAAAGGCAGGCCGGGATTTGCACTCCAAGTACAAAGTTGATTGGAAAACAGTAATCGGAGAAGGAGCTTATGGTTCCGTGTATCCCGCTAGATTGGCTAGCACTGGGGAAAAGGTCGCACTGAAGAAAATATCAAAGCGATATACAAATTCTTCCGCTTTTCGAAAGGAGACCGAAGCGTTGCTACGGATATATGACAATGGCGGTCATCCCAACATCTCGGGACTTCGGGATATGTACGAAGACAACTCGTATTTCTATCTCATTCTTGATCTGATCAAGGGTGGAGAAATGTTCGAACACTTGTCCAAAGAAGGCGCTTATTCCGAAGCTGACAGTGCTAGGCTCATTTTTGAAGTTGCGTCTGCCTTGGCATTTTTACATGGAGGTATGTGTTTCAAACTACACGTTTCTTCACACATCAACTTCTCATCCAAATTCAATGAACGTGACCCCACCGATAGTTGGCGTTATTCACAATGATCTGAAACCTGAAAATCTCCTTCTCTGTTCCAAAAGTCGGCGCGACGGCACTATTAAGATTATTGATTTTGGGTGTGCCACAATTTCTGAACCTGAGATGATCTTTCAGCGAGAAATGGGTGATCTCGATACAGACGAGAGCGGAACAGTTGGTTACTCACCGCCAGAAAGGTTGAACGAGTCGTCCAGATTGTCGCCCGTCGTTGATACATGGGCTGTTGGCGTCATCATGTACATTATGCTCACTGGAGGTAAAATTCGGGGATGTGTTAGAAATTGCAATTTTTCATTTATTATTTCACATGACTTCTCACCAAAACGCAACCGTCTGATTTAGTGCACCCATTCGATCTTAATTGCGATAGATCTGATGAAGAAATCGCGGAAGCAATCAAAGAGAACCCCTTTCCGCCATTAGATGAGGATTATGTCGGCCATCTTTCCGATTCTGCGGTTGATGTTATAAGAAGGCTGATGGAACCAGATCCCGAGAAGCGGATGTCAGCCTATGAGCTTCTGCATCATCCATGGGTTCAGGGGGAGACTGCAACAACCGAAAAGATGGAAGGATCTGACAAGAAATTGTCCAATTTTCGAGGTAGGCCCCAGTTGCACTCAATTTGGCTCTACTTTGACAGATCCCCTAAATATTTGCCATCATTGTTTTCCTTCTGGCATTTGTCATCTGTCTCGTTTTCGCAGACTTGAAACATCAGTTGGAAGCCTCTATATTTGCTGTCCTGGTTAGTCAGGCACACAAAGATTTGACATTAAGTGAGGCAAAGCCAGCAAATGCGGACGCTGACAAGCACAGAGGTGTGCCCATTCTAAAACTTGTATTCGACGTTTTTGACGAAGATGGTAAAGGTTACGTTACTGGTGCCGACATTGGCCGTCTTGTCACAGCACATACTGGAGAGGTGTTGAGTTCAGAACGCACCGATGCATTTATAAAGTCACAGAGTAGCGAATTATCTTCTGCCCCTGAGGTTGATCTCTCGGACTTCTCGAAGCTTTTCAAGGGCCTCAAACAGAGGCACTATCCCCGAGGTCATTATTTATTTCGAGCAGGCGAAGAAGGGAGCTCAATGTTTTTCATCTCCTCGGGTAAGATTGAGATCCAAACAAGGAAAGGGCAACTTGTTGCGATACTTCGAAGTGGTGACTTCTTCGGTGAGGGTAGTCTTTTGGAAAAATCAAATCGATTCACAACCGCAAAATGCGCCACTCCAGTTGATGTTATTGAAATCAAACAAAAAGATTTTGACCGATACACGCGCACTTCTTCAGAGACCAGGAACGAGCTAAAGCGAAAATGGAGAGCGCGAAATCTAGAGTATGCGAAAAATCTTGTGAGATTGGAGCGTCAACTAAAGACTCGAACGCTAAAAAAGGGTGACGTAGTGTACACTGAAGGAGATGTTGGAAGTTCTATGTTTCGAGTGGACGATTCTGGTCAAGTTGATTCTGAGTTGGAAGTATTACACGGCTCAACACCAGTACATAAATATCTTCCAGGTGATTCTTTTGGAGAGTAAGTATCACGGTTCTTGTCTTCGGGAAATCCTTGTGTTTACTCTGACATTGCGGTGATGGAAATTTTAGATCCTCCCTTCTCTTCGAAAAACCCCGCAGCTCCACGGTGAGATGTGCATCAGATATTTGTCGAATACATGAGATGCGGGGCGAAGATTTTCTGAATGTTGTAAACTCTAGCCCTGGGATGGCTTCGGCTCTTCGCAACATGTGTCGGAAACGACTATTCAAGAAAGCAGTGAAACAATTTTCACTACAAAAAAATCGAGGACTGAGCGATGACGATATTGTTGCTGCATTTCATGATGCAGATATTGACAAATCAGGTTCGTTGAATATCGAGGAAGTTAGGCTTCTAATTCATAGAATCGAGCCAGACTTCCCAATGTCGGAAATTCAGCAGCTGATGAGATTTGTGGATGTGGATGATGACGGTCTGGTTAACCTTGGCGAATTCAAGAAGTTATTTCGGCAGTTCGAAGAAGAAAAATCATAGCTAGTTCGATAGAAAAATTGAGGGTTATCTGCAAAGTGGATCGTCTTCTTTTCCCCTGGGGGCAGCTTTGCTTACTAGTGTACCTTGTTGGTGTGTACGTGAAAACTGAGATGTACGGTGGGGTTTGGAAAAGCTACAAGTACTGTATTTGTTTAGTACACATTGAACATTAGCTCCGTGTCGCAGCAAACGACATAAATTCATCGTCGTTTTTATTTCTTCTACAAGTATAATACCTATTTTAGCCGTTATTTACGGGGCTCTTTAAAAAAAATGCTCTGCTGGGGGTTTTCTAGCCAGACCATTCACTATCTCCACTAAATTAGTACTGTTCCCAAGCATTGAAATGGTGATTAGGGAGATTGTTGGTCAAGGCTGCACACGGCCCTAGAGGGTAGCAGCATGCCTCTGCCTTAATAAGCACTGTTGCACTTTGTCTTAACGACAAACCTTAGCATTGGATAATGAGAAACCGCTACAGCCCCCCTCAGATCACTTCTAGCTGCGCTGAAGAATGGGCAGGGAAGGATATGGTGCTGGTAGTAGGAAGGCGACGGAAATTGACCAGCACTACAAGAGGTGATCAATACTTCCCACGTCAGAAAATGTTTTTCAACCTTGTAGTTAGAGTATATATTGACTAGTATCGTTTAGTCGTCCCTTATGGCAGCAGGATGCTCCTCTGAAAGAAACCGAATTCAAATGTTATAGTTAGTAGTAGTAGGTAGTTTCTCTGCCTTTAGAATCAAGTCATTGTTTCAATTAGGTGGTGCACCAAGTTCTTGTTGATTGTTTTCTCGCCGTCAGAATCAAATATTTGACACCAGAATCTGATTATATCCTCAACCATCATGCAGTAGTAGACTGTCTCAGCGCCTTGGAAACCTGGCCAATATTGAGCCCATCGGAAGTATGGGATAATCTGCGAATCAAATCCAATACTGCCTCTTTGTCGCAAGCCTCGTATAAGTGAAATTTTCGTCAAAAGCATAGCGTTGGTGCCACCTGGCGGTGTCGCGTTTTTGTTCATGCCCTGATTCACTTTACTGTACTTTTAAATGGTTTGTTCTTTTCATCTCAAAATCAGGCTTCTGTCATGTATTACCGTATGTTCCACATCTTGAAGTATTTGAGATATCAAATTCACATTATGGTGTGCCTCCAATTTTTTATTGAATTTCTGCAATGTGAAGATATGGACAACACTATTATCAGAGCTGACAGTTGATGTGTGAATGAGAAGGAAAATGCAAAAGTGAAATTGAAGATGTCAGATAATCAACTCCGTAGCTGTAATGAGAGCCTCAATGGTCTAGCTACCTCTGGAGTAAATCTGAGCTTGAATCTACATTGGCTATGGATTGCCTACAATAGGAACAGGTGTCAGTGATGCTGGGCTTCTACCTGCGGATGAACAGTCTCACCACTTCAAATTAGATCTTATTCTACTGCTATTCTTGCCAGAAGTCGATCAACAATGATCTCCACAAGCAGGTACAAAATATCTCTTCCGGAAGCCATCTGCGTCAGCTCTCACCAGCTGTCGCGGCGTATAAAGCACATACGCACATGTTCTTCACGAACTAGTCACAGATCCGGATCTACCTTCAATACTTCTCTGTCTCTGTACGTATTCGAACCGCACTCCTGTCCGCGTTCGATACCACAAATGTCCGACTTCACTGTCCCACATGTTCGACTGTTCTTTTATCCATTAGAATCCCATTTCACCAACAGAAGAATGCAATTCTTGGATTGCACTGGTGAGGAAGTATTGGTGTCGTAGTAGCTTGTTGGCGCAGGTAGACAGTAGCGTTACAAAGGGCTTTATAAACTGTTGTACTAGCAGATATGACTAAATCCTAATGCAATGCAAATGTCGATGAATGAGAAATAGTGAGCTAGTTTATCCCCTTGTTTGACGTATCAGTCTGTCCGTCGTACGTATGTCTAGGGGACCAAGAGTATAAGGGTGTGAAACTGGTTATTCAACGACGAATATAATTTATGTACCCTATGTGACGGCTGTGGCACTGCAGGCGCGATATGGTTCAGCGGACGGCACCTTTTTGATGAACACTAAAAAAGCCCCAGAATTTGTATGAAAACGGCACTTTTCAAATAAACACTTTAAAAAACGCCCAAATATTTTTGTGAAATCTGACATATTGTGGGCCTTGTTTAGTGCTTATCAAAAAGGTGCCGTCCGTTGAACCATATCGCTCCTGCAGTGCCACAGTCGTCACATCGATCACAGGATTTTTGGGTTTCACACCCTTAAGCGTTTCCTGAGCTAGCTGCACAAAACCAAAACACATGGATACGGTACAAAATCTACGTAAAATTGACTCCACCGACCACAATTGCAATCTCTAAATGCTCTTTACCAAATATAGCCACCAAAGAACTGAACACATAGCAGAAACTCTTTTATATCATACAAGGGGTACAATAAGCCTCCGTAAGTGGAAATGGTTGTCAGAAGGCGCTATGAGATTTCGACGTTTCACAAAGGCCTTTCTTAGTTTTTCCTGGTACTAGTCCTACACAGTCCTACACAAGTTTTGACTGCTGGGAAACATAAGATCTTAGATGTGGAATTGGTCCAACAAAATAATTCCACCTAGGACAGTGCTTCTTTATCTATTGTATTTAGGGATGGGCCTTTGTCCGATTATCAACAATGCCTTCATATCAGCGATCTGGATCAACTAATATTGGGTAATTTTGGCGATATTGACGAAATATTTGTTTTTACGTAGAGCATAGTATAGATCCTACGTCTTTTATAAAATCAGCCTTGAATCAGCCTCTGATCAGGAAACGGTTATACTCTTGGGTGGACCTTGCACAACCCCTCGGATTAGTGTGAACCATTTCGGATGGGACAGGGGAAGAATTTTTGCACCCCTGCAGAACGGGGTCATCAAATTCAAGCTCAATAATGTTCCCATCATTTAAGGGGATACTAACTATTTCAGGGTCAAAAAATACGAAAACATTTGGTGATTTATTAACAACAAAACTTTGTTGTAATTTTTGTCGTAGTTCGTCGTAATTTTTGTTGTAAATTATCTACAGGTCCATCCGGCAAAATGCTTCGCGCGGAACTGGCGCGATTTCAATCAAGCATGCAGTCAGCGCAAGTCAATCTGGAATCTGGAATCTTGATATCCCATATTTTTAATCCTGCAAACAATCCCGCATAAAGAATTTTTAAGAATTTTTAAGATCAGCCATCTCGCATGACTGACAGGCATAATATCGCGCAATATTCGAGCAATGTGTTTTGCCGGATGGGCCAGTACGACAAACTGAGCAACAACGACAAAATTTACGACAGAGCTAACAAAATTGATCGAGTTCTCGGCTTGCGCGAAAGCATGCTTGATGTCCGAAGAGAACAAATCAAGAATCATTGTTGGGAATTCACGTTTGCGTGTAAGAACTAACCAGGTTTATATGGATTAAAAGTGGTCTTCAAGCGTGACAAATGGCTAGGATATACCGGTACCTGGGTCAGAACCAGTTTGTCACATTTTCGAGGACCAGACTGGCTGTTTTAGCCAACAATCATCGTCAGTAGATTGATTGATTCCTGTTTACAGCCTTGGTGTAGCTATGGAGACCTGCATTTGGGGTCAACACTTTTCAATCAGCTCTTCCAGATGGTTCTCTGTACGAGTCCCTTTCCTTTGATGAGACAAACAATGACAGGTGCTGTATCTGTTCCTTTGTCAACATCATGCCATTATGATGAGCGATGATGTCTGCGAATTCTCCATCCATGCTTCATAGCCAGCATGTTTTCCAGCAAAAATCTGGATCATCTCGCCTTTGAGAGTGTCTAAATCCACCATCTCTTTTTTATGCTGATTGTTGCAGTTGACAATGAAAACAGATTGGCGTTTTCAACATGAAAGTATTTGAAATTCTCTCAGTCATCGCTAAATGTTGAATCGAAGGGTCGGCGTGCGCGCAAATGGAAGCATGCATAGATTTTGTCTAAGATTTTGTTGTAAATTTTGTGTCGTAGGTTTGTCGTAAGTTGTTGTAGTTTGTCGTCTGCAAAGTGGCCCGTCTTCTTTTCCCAGGGCAGCTTTGCTTACTACTTTGTGGGTGTGCACGTGAAAACTGAGATGTACGGTGGGGTTTGGTGTTCGGGTGTCAGAAATTAAGCTATTTATTTAGTTAACATTTCTTGTTGCATCGTGTGGAGCCTTAATACCACAAAAATTTTGTCGTTTTTCCTACGATTCAGTCAACCAACTCTGATGCTTGACTCCGCCGACTAAATATTTGTTCTTCGTTTTTTAGCCTTAACAGCACGTTATGTCTGCTTTCCCACCATTTGCAGACCCTATCCTGTACATTTACTATTTTAACGACAAAATTTACAACAAAATCTACGACAAAACACTTGTCGTTAATTATTCACGACACAAGCAAATTGAGTTGGATTTCGGTTCTGGCGGACATCAGACAAGCGACAGGCTTGTCGTCGTCCAAACCGATTGACAACTTTGTGGCCCATAAAGCCATCATTGCCAACCAGCCGTGCCAACATGCGACCCATCA